CGCCCTCCAGCAACTGCCACAGTCCTCTGTTCCACAAATATGTCATTAACATTTTCTGCAGCACCAGACATGAACTCTCCAAGGAAGGTGGTTACAAAATTGTCAACCTTGCTTTTTAAAAAGATTAATCAAGTGGACAAACGATGTCTCCTCCATTTCCTTACTATCTGGCCAAAGTCCAAGTCGATATGGCTGGGCGGCATGAGAATGAGACAGTCGGCACAGTCGTATTACCACGAGACCATTTCTGACACCAGCCTCTAGTAAATGATGCTGACTTTATTCCAATGCTTTCAAGGCTAACGTTGGACTACCATGAGGGGAACAAACGCCATCTTATCCCTATTTCTTTCTCAAAAGGAACTAAACTGCAAACCTATTAGAACCACAATGAAGAATCAATTGTCACAGACAGTTGTCTTCCTGATGGCACAGCTCGTTGATGAAAGCTTTTCACGCATCAGTGGTCGTAGCGAGGCGTAGATTAGAGGGAGTGTCGGCACGGCACTCAACAGAAGAAGGACTTAAGCAGCACATGGGCACCAAAGGCGCCGCATTTGCAATTCCTCTAAGTTAAATGCCTTCGAGAGCATGACAACAGACCTTCAGCCCTTTACCCTATATCTTCGTGTAACTGATTCTCTTGTCCTTATGGAATACTGTTTGTGCAACAATAAAACGCTTCGTAAAGGACAAAAAATTTCATCTGGTTAACATTTAAAGACCGAGTTGATTAGAGCCCTGATTAGTTCTCAAATTCCCACTGACTTGTCAAATGAGTGCTTCAATACGAAAATTTTGTTAAGGAGATGAAAAATATACTTTAAGGTTCCCATCGAGGTATTTGTTCAACAAATTGCAAAGATCTTGGATTGGTAACACATCCCCTTTTCACTCCTTTCGCTTTTCTCTTTGTTTCAAATACTGTGTCTTGCAAACTAAGACAAAGTCCAGGTTTGCAAAACTGCATAGACAAAGGCATTCACTGCCTTAGCGTGATTATCATGAAAGTTCGTTTGCGTGAAGTATTCAACCGGAAAGGTAGGAGAATGTATTGTTGGCAAGGGTTGATTAGAATTCGGAACCCTTGGACTCCCAGTGTCGTACAAGCATTGCTGGACGCGTTTGTTGTTAGGATATTTTAAGAAAATCAGACATCACAAATAAAGGAGGCAAATTTTCCTAGCAGCACCAGTTACGAATGGGTTAGAAAGGGTGCAATTGTGGCACTCAAAAATCCAGGACTGTCACTATTCCTAGAAGAGCAATTTTGGCCAATTTAATCGTGACACAATTTGTGCAACTAATTACTGTAAGATTATAAATAAAGCAGGTAAATAAATTTGTCAGTAAATATGTTGATTTTAAGACTTAAAAAGGAGAATTATGGCAAAAGATACTTGTAGCAAAGGTGCTTCAATATGACCACGCCAACTTTTATTGGACGCGGGTTCAGACGGTCCTGTTTCAGCCTGACATATCTGGTGGTGACCAGCATTAATCTCAAAGATTGGTGAATACACTCGAGACATTGTAATATTCTTTTAGGAAGTAGAGAAAAGAGAAACAATTTTCCCCAATTTGGATCTTATATTAATGGGAAGGGATTCTAGTGGCACCACTTGCACTCTTCATGCTTCATAGCGGCCTTGGAGGTGATGCGAATGTAAAGTTTTGCTCTGTAAAGCAGTTTACACCTCAGTGGGAGGGGAATTTTTATCTCTATGGGTTCCCAAAGTTCAACAATAAGTGGTTAATGAAACTGTTTTGGTATATTGAGAAAACTTAGGAGGCGGCTGTTAGATAGACGACTGAAGTAGCTGGAATTCCCATACCAGCATGAAAACAACCAGAAGCATTGTGTATACGGAAACCAGGAGATTAGTAAATGCTGCACATCTTAAATGTACGAATGAACTTTTGGTTGAATGCGAAGAGGAGGAGCAGCATGCTCAATAAGGGGAACTGTTTGGATGCGCAAAACATCTTTAGTGATGATAGATAGAGGCAACGGTATGAACAACAGTTCTTGAAAAATGGCAATGGATGAAATACCAAGCTACACAGACCATTAACGAGACGTTTTATGCCAGCTTCTTAGGAATGAATAATCCCAAATACCAGCCACACTGCTGAAAATTTATACGCAAGGCATGCCACTTCGAAGCTCTAATAAGAGAAAATTATTGTCACCTGCCTTAGCCACCGTTGGTGGTTCCGAACTTTGTCGACAGGCTTCAGGAAGGACTATTGCTCCTCGTCTGGACTGCACCTGCCGAGAGTCTGTCTGCATTTCACTGGGCCAATTGCCCGTCTCATAGACTCCCCTACCATCCGAAATCTGCAATGGCAGATGCACATAACTCCCAACCTTCGACTTTTGATCATTCGTGTGGGGATGTATCTGTCGATGTGGACCATCGTGCTGCTCTCGGTGTTTCGACATACTTGAAGTTGACATAGTGGAGGAGATGGTGGTGCTCCTCGCCGAGTCAAAGCGGTTGGTGGCCGTCGGCTGTAGGGTGTAAAAGCATTTCTCCATCAACTCGCTGATTAAAGTTGTAAGTTACAAGAAGATTAGACTGTTGTGAAATGTCGACACTATCAACTGAGTCAAGATAAACTGAGTGGATTTAAGGGCATCTTTAAAAAGCATTCTCATTATTAAATGGGCATGACAAATTTGAAATGCGAAGCAGACGAACTTTAAGATCTTGAGGTGGAAGCTTCTGGCAAGACTAATTGCTTCATTAAGTAAAAAAAAGTCAAATTAGGCACTTCTTCTACTGCTCACACAACTTTTAGTACCTACATGTTCTAACCGAGAAAAAAAATACCAACACACCAGTGAAGAGTTGGTCCAGTGAAGGTTTAATGAACAAAGAGGAAAATCTCCAAGTTGTTTGTATCACAACGCCCAGATCTTGGTACCAAAACACTTTTCTCTGTGCATGGAGGAGATTTCAAACAGATGAGTGCAACCATTTCTTCGCATATAAGATGCTTCTGTGCGGTTTGATAAGTACACGAATTCGAATTTCAAAGTCTCAAGAAGGTGAACCACTAATGGAAGACTACTTGGGGAAAGCAAAGTCATCTCAGTACATGGAGGCGACTTTGCGATGAGTTACTTGCCTGAAGAGACTTTGAAAGCCTATTTCTAGGGCATATTGTGAGTTCATGCAAAATGACCAAAAAGAAATTAAGATGCAGCCTTGGTTCTGCTCTATGGATTAAAGCAAAAAAGTCATTTCACAGAGGTCAGTGGAGTCAAAGCGGCACAAATCAAGGGAACGAGTTGCCATGAGAGTAGAATTTTACAAGATCGCTTGGTGGAATAGGGCAAAAGAACAAACAGGTGCCAGACATCCAGACAACCCTGACAATGGCTAATTCCAAGCTTAGACTGGTCTTGGTGGTGCCATTAATGCTGAAGGAAGCATTTGCTCAAAAGTTCCTACTGCTTAGCAATTTAGTGGTGGTGCTCATTGGACTCGTTTTCAGCTATCCAAAAAAATGAATACATTATTTCTCAGGCTGAATGAAGACGAAACTGCAATCAGTGCAACACATTTATAATTGTTTTAAAATCCAATCGGAAATCAGCAAAGAAATAATGAAAATGCGAATCTACCGGAAGCCGCTTAAGTGACCAGGACTCCTTCACCGAAACCGTCGTATCGGAGAATTTGCGTGGAACTGCTGCGGCAGATATCGCTGATCGTGGTGTGATTGATGAGTCAGTTGGAAAGCTGATGGGACTGTGACAGGTTATAGATCGCGTGATCACTGTCAACGGGCCTGCCGAGTGACCCGCTTTGCACTCCGGAATGCACTCCACAGGCAGTCGACCGGTCAAACGCTGTAGATCAAAGTTAAATGCTTAATAAACTTTTTTTGTACTGCTGTAGGACTAAAATTGAGTCTATCGGGGTTTCATGGAAGTTCTACCTTCCAAGAGCATTGCATTAGAAATGCATTGATCGGACTTAATCTTAGTAATGACTAGACTTGGTAACCATTTGGCGAACAGATTTTAGGCAATGTCAAGGAAAGTTGGCTGTTGTAGTCCGAAAATTTCAGTGTTTCAGAATGACACCAACGCCTACACAAATTGCCACCCAAGGAAATACGCGCAGACCAAGAAGATTTGACGTCCATCTATTCTCAGCACAGTTTCGAGTCCGACAGTTTGCGACGTTGGACTCGACTGTTAAAACCGAATCGCCTTGCAGCTAAAAGCGTTGGTTAAGGCAGTTTCCATCCCTAAATAATCGACCTATAGGCAAACTTATTCCTTTTAATGAAGCCGTTTAAAATATGCTTCAGAGATCGAACGCAGCTTATCTACTGAAACAGTCCATCTTTATTTTCATTTTTATTTTCTCTTTGGCCCTTGGCTCGAAAAGTTTGGAGAGTGGCTTATTGGAAGTACATCAGAGACAATAGGGGCAGATTTTGGATTGAATTCGAGTAAAGTTGCATAGTCCTGCAGGTCAGAAAAGTCTCTTTTATAGAGAAGACGCTTTTTTTTTCAATTAAATTCTAAATTAAACCTGTCATTCAAGGCGGATTAACTTTTAGTTTATTGCGAAACAGTGAACATTTGGCTCAGGCGTTCTCCACCCCCAGAACCACCTCCTGTCTTGGAGTATCAAACTGTGGTATGCGCTCACTTGGTGATGATCACTGTCAAAGTTATTGCCGAAACTCGTTATTTTCCCATGTCCCACTACTGTGACAATCTTTAACCAAAGACACAGGAACTGCCTCATTTGATGAAAATTACTGGATAAAGACCCATAATTTTTGGAAAAAAAGTCTAGCCAATGCCCTTGTAAAGAGTTGGAAAAACAATCTTTAGCAAAGGATGACTGCTGATCCAGATCAGTCTTTCCATTGAAGTTTGAGAAGTTATTACGTTGCGGTTATTTCCACGACTAATCTGTAAATTGGCTTTCCTTCATTAGCCCCCTCGACACCGCCCCCGCCCCGCCCCCTTGATTGGCTAAGGTCAGGCTTGACCACACTTTAAATGATAGCACTCATGCCAAAATTAGGGTTAATCCACTGCCATAAGCAATGGCGATTAACCTTGTTGGAGGGTGTAGATCCAATCTCATTCTCTGTTACCATCCCCCGGCAAGACCCCATCCTCAAATGCACGTACATCTTCGTGCCTGCACACCCACGTTGGTGCTGTGACGCCCTCATCTATCACTTACTTGGGTTTGTGGTCTTGACAAAATCCGCGCTACTCAGAGGCATCGAAAAAAGTGATAATTAGATTTTGAGCATCTACAGGAAAACTATTGTTTGATATTTTGTTTAATATGAGTGCTTCACTTCATCGGTCACCCACTTGCTCAACACGGGAGAACGAATACCGCAATGCTGGGATGTTCAGAACAGGCTATTTATTTAGTCACAGAATCACCTTCGTACTTCATGCGTTTGGAAGGGAATTCTCGGTGAGAAGGCCATTTCCTGATCTTTATTTATGCATACATTTTTCCTAAAGCGGCTGCGTGAAAGACAAAGAAGTTATGCATTTCAGCTAAAGGTAGCGCCGCTATACAGTTATGCTATTCTAATGCCTTGCCAGAGACGATGTAAGATAAGAGTTGCCAATTTGTAAACAAGAGTTTCCACGTCTATCAGCGAAACGTAATGGAACCCGGCCGACTATAATTGCTGAATAAAATTACAAGAAATTCTCAAAATAACAACTGATTAGTACAACAAATACGCACTTGTCGTGGTAATGGGCTTGCAAAATTACTAACTTGAAAGCTCGATGGCTGAGAATAAAAATTTAGCTAACTATTCCAGTTTGTTCAACAAAGTCTAAAATCTCCACTCGAAAAAAAAGACACAAATTTCTGGGTTTGTAGTCAGAAATACCCGCTTTTATCTTAAAACACACTTAAGTTGCACTTTTACACTAAACACGGACGTTTGACCTAAAAGTACAGCACTTTAAGTTGATTGAAAATGAAAAGGACGTCCATCTTATTACAGAGATTAAGTCAGAAGTACAGATTTAGGAGTAATGCAAAAGCTTAACAAAAGCTCCTCCTTTTGCCACTGCCTACTTCAGCCTACTTCGTTACACCTACCTGTTCTTCACGGCAAAGCTCCGTGAGTTGACGACTGCCCTCTGAGATGAGCCATTTCAGTTCAGCAGCCACTTCAAGCAACTCTCTCTCCTCTTCTAACGCCGCCGCTGTTGTCGCCACCTGCTGGAGCTTGGACTCTCCGTTTCCAAGCTCTTCTTGCACTCTCCCTTCTCCTTGTTGCTGGGGTTTTTTCTTCGCCTCTAGACGCTTCCAAAAGCCAAGGAAACGCACAGAGGACCCCTTCGAAGACTCAATAGTCTCGCGTCTGGGTTCCTCGGTTTGAGCACGACTCTGCGAATGCAACCGGTATGTCTCGGGGGGACGTGGTGGTGGGGGCAAGGGTGGTGGTGGCGGTGGCGGGGGCGGGAGTGAATACTTCCGAGTGTTTTCTATGCCGCTAAAGGCACTCAGTTCGCTCAGAGACAATGCGGTGTCTAGCAGGCGTTGGCGATCGGTTAGACGCCAGGATTCGATCATCTCAGATATTTCTGCAAAAATAAATGCATCCATTTATTTAAATTTGCTAAGCAATAAGGTTTGAAATCCAATGCTTTCCTTGGAGGCAAGTTCGACAAGTATGTCACTATTTCCCCAACCTAGTGGCATTTCATTAAGCTGAACAGTTGCGTTGTTGAGTCCTGAGGCGAGAGTTTATAGTTTGAAACACCTCAAGAGTAGTTGAAAAATAACGATGAGAGCCTACAAGGTATAGTTGTTCACCAAGAAGGAAGTACAGTTTGTACAAATTCTTAACAGTGTTTTCTTAATCCTCCCCTTTAGTGAACACATTTACAGTCAAATCATCGAACAGCCCGCGGATCCTTTGCTCCAGCACCTCTACAATCGCAAAGCTGTCTGGTAAGCTCAACATGAATGCCTGAAATGGGTAATTTTCTCATGTGAAATGTGTTTGTGCTTTTCCACCGCCCCTGTATGCCAGCTAGATGTAACTCGCGTTGCAGTTTAAAGGCAAGATTAACTCCAAGTTGAGTAGCAACATTTATGGATCGTCAAACGCCTCAAAATGCAAAACAACCACCAAAGTTTTATGCTTGAGATTTTATGTGATTTCCTCAGGATATATTGGTTAAGTTATTTTGTAAAAACTGCATGAATATAGGGAAAAGGATTCAGTTCAGCAACCATAACTCAAGCTAACTCATTCACTGCCATAAAAACCGCCGCATTAAATCCACTACGAGTTGGAGGTTGGCGTTTGGGAGTTTAATTAAACTGAACTAAATGACGCACGCACATAAACCTTGAAAAAAGCAAATTTTCGTATGGGTCCACATCATCGAAAATTTCGGATCAAAGTTAAGCCCCAATTTCGCTGCAAACTTCCACAGTCAACTCCTGGGACGGAACAATTTTTGCTATTAAAATCTCTTCAGTCGCCATATTTCACGCACGGCCAATTTAACCACCTGATAGAATAAAACATTTTGGCCTTAAGAGATTAATTAGATTTTATTTGCCCTACCTTGGATTTTTGAAATCCTAGTCAAATAAAAGGTAAAACAAGCATGCCTGCATGCCTTTCATGATGTGGCGGAGTGGGTGGGAAAAAATTCGCTCGGTAACTGACGGTGCGGTTCAGGTTAGGACGTGGTTCAATGAACTTGGCTTACGTAACAAACAATTGCCTCATAGAAACGGAAACCCCTTGTAGGTTGCCATGTCATCCTAGTACTTGCCATAGTAAGGGGCAATCCAGGGGCTGCACATTCCGATTTAACCAAATATGCTGTCAAAAGCACCCACTACAATTAAGACTAATAAAAATGACCAGCACAACATGAAATTAGGCCTTGCAAACTGTCCACAACACTTAAAAGCTAGCAGTTAAAAGGTGGTTGCTTCATTTCTGCTAAGTCTTACTCGTGAAACCGTGACGCATGCATGGAGAAAAGCACAACTTCGGATTCCTACTTTTCTAGCCAAGTAAACGTAAAGGCGATTCAAAATACTTAGAACACTGCACTTTGATGCGGGAAATTATTGTCACTATTTAAAATTTAACACAACAGATGACCTGGGAGCCTTCATTCTGGAGAAAAAAATGGTGTTTTGTAATACCACGATGCATAGTCTGAAGCGGAAAGGCAGTGCAGGTAAGCATTGGTGCATGAGAGGGTGGAGGCTGACGATTTAGTGGTCATGCAACGGTTTGGGTCAGACGGTCGTCATGATGATCGCGCACTACTTACCACCATTCGCCCCTAGAAGACACTGTGATCGAGAGTGTTTTGGAACGACCAAAGTTTGGTGATTCAGCGGCGCATTCGTGTTAGGGCTGTGGAGCGTCCTTATGTGTGTGTGTGTGTGTGTGT